CATGGAGGAAATTAGGAGGAGCAACTTACGGAACGCGTCGCTCGCATCGAAGCTCGAACCCAGATAGGTAAGAGTTCTGACGGGGAGAGATGCGTGAACCCTTATCTGAACCGAGTAGCTCGCATCGACACTCTAAGCCGTGGGAGTCTCGACGGGGAGTACGAGGGGGTTAGCCCTTGTCATTATTGTGCTTCGCTGTGTGAGTCAAGTGAAGAGGGGCACGGTTATTCTCATTGTGTCTTTGAACGTATAAATAGATTTGGTAATTTTGGTGCATCTTGTTATTCATCAAAGTTATTAAATTTGGATTTGCCTCCAATATTTGATCCTTGCAACTGTGAAAATTGAAATGAAAATTGTTTGGGTTTTCAAAGCAACTTTGATAAGCAATTTATTGATCAGAACAGTGAAGAGATGAGAATTGAGAAAACTTTCGAAGATATTATTGATTTTTTGGGCATTAATGTTTTCACTTGGAAGGTTGCCAAAACTTTTGTTGATTTTGTCAATCGGTTGAAGATTCTAGAGAGAACCATTTGCATTGTTAGAGGGAGTAAGAAGAAGCCAAGAATAATGAAATATTCCAAATATCTTTTTATTTGGAAATTGTGGGGGACTTTTTCTTCCTGCAGCTAATGGGCTAGGCTGCTGTAAAAGGGTGGAATGAGAAGACTGTCCCCTTTTGCCTGGGTTCGAAAATTAAGCCCCAAAATACCTCGAAAGGGTAGCAAAACCTTAGGAGATATTTTGGCTATCTTCACCGATCAAAATAATGGTGACTTACAGATAATTTTGGCATGCTTTCAGATAGTCTTTTAGCTCATCATGAGTGGCATGTGGCATGGGAGCAAAACCAACGTAAGTTTAGAGCTAAGAGAGAGGTTAGGCTTGGTTTATGAGAAAAGAAAGTATTAAGGTAAGGACTGAGGTGTTTTGTGAGGAAGTTTGACTGGGGAAAGAGGAAAAAGAAAGACTGAAAATTAGGGAAGAAGATGAACAGTGCATGAGGTAGTTAGATTTTTGCAAGTTAGAGAGAAAGCTTGCTCCCTGAATTTTTTTGAGTTGCCCCTATTGGGTAGGGGAAGCCTCAATTTATAGCTGCTGGAAATCACCATTCTTTAAGAAACACTAATGGCTTCTACTTATTTTGGCTAAGCTTTTTCCTCCTTTCTCCTCCTCTTCTCTGACTTCCCTTTCTTGGCAAAAATTACCTCTGTTTATTTGCTCGAATTCAGGAAATTTGGGAGCTCAATGTCCCCCTTTCCCGCAGCTGCGTAGTGAGAGCTTCCCTTCTTGGTTACTGTTTTTTCTTCTTTCCTTCCCCTGCCTTAGCTAAATCTGATGAAGGAAAGGAAGTAAAAATATATGCTGGTCCAAGGGGTGCTTTTGACAGGGTGCAGGCCAGCATTCCTTGGTTCTTTGGGCGTTTCTGGCTTGGAACTTGCTCCCAGCAGCTTTGCTTGATGAGTCTGCCAACCTCCTCCTTCACGTGTTCTCTGTTTTTCAAAAGAGCTGAAGCTTTTGTGGGCTATTTTGGGTTTTTCTAAGGGCCAAGATGGCTTCCTAAGTAAATGGGCCTTTTGTGAAACATTGGGCCTCTTGATTTGGGCTTATTTTTTTTGGTTGGGTTATCTCTTGGTTAGGTTATTTTGCTTGGGCTTTTGGGCTACTTTTCTCTCTTGTACTTACCCACATGTTTGGGCATAAGAAATGGGCTTGAGTCTCCAGGCTCCCAAGCAACCCGAGACTTTCCATTTCTCGGCCCATCAATGGGTCTCATGTTGATTTATCACCGTCCATACCACAACCCACTCAAGCAAGCCCCTGTTTTTTGAGTAGCTTGGGCCCACTTAGGCTTGTAGCGTGATTAGGTGTGCGATAATGATTTCGTGCTTGGCATGGCACATTGCTTGGCATGTTTTAATTTATCGTCCTGCGATGCTTATTTTTGCATGGGCCTGTAAACACGGTATATTTTATCTCAACCCAGAGCGAATTTATTTATTTAGCGTGGCACGTGCATTGTAATTCGCATGTGGTAGGTTTCGGTGCACTCTGCTTTACGCTTTTTCCTAATGGATCGTCGTTTTGGGCTGATAATTTATTCGGGCCCAACCATGTATTTTTTGGGTCTCAACAGAAATGAAGGTTTCAATTGGATGCTAAAAGATCCAGAATTAATATGAAGCAATTTCAGATTCTACTCAGAGTTTCCTCAATCAAAGGCTTGAATTCGAGTATGAATTCTTTCCAACCAGGGGAGTCTGATGCAGGAGTATAGGGGTGGATCAAGACAGATATTTATCATTTAATTAATTATTTCTTGATATATTGTTAATTTCTTATTTAGGTAGTTTTAGGATATCTTTTATTACTTATGTGTGATTTTATAATTAATTAGTTTACTTTTGGACCAAGCAATCTTGGTGCCCAAGTCTTGTAAAGCCTATAAATAAGGCTAATGCAATAGTTGTAGGGGAGTTGATGTTGATGATTAATGAAATAGTTTTATTTGTGGCATGGATTTGCTACGATATATGTGAGTTTGCATTAGCCCTAGATTTCGGTGCTCGTGTATGTGGTTGGTGACCTGTGTCCTGACCTCGATCCCCATCAATTGGTATCAGCTATGGCTCAAGATCTGCTTTATCGGGGAGGTTTTTGGATGGAGGGTCGTATTGACAACTACAACGACATGGAGGAAATTAGGAGGATGCTACAACAACTTACGGAATGCGTCGCTCGCATCAAAGCTCGAACTCAGATAGGTAAGAGTTCTGACGGGGAGAGATGCGTGAACCCTTATCTAAACCGAGTAGCTCGCATCGACACTCTAAGCCCTGGGAGTCTCGACAGGGAGTACGAGGGAGATAGCCCTTTTCATTATTGCGCTCCGCTGGGTGAGTCAAGTGAAGAGGGGCACAGTTGTTCTCATTGTGTCTTTGAAGGTATAAATGGATTTGGTAATTTTGGTGCATCTTGTTATTCATCAAAGTTATTAAATTTGGATTTGCCTCCAATATTTGATCCTTGCAACTGTGAAAATTGCAATGAAAATTGTTTGGGTGTTCAAAGCAATTTTGATAAGCAATTTATTGATCAGAACAGTGAAGAGATGAGAATTGAGAAAACTTTCGAAGATATTATTGATTTTTTTGGGCATTAATGTTTTCACTTGGAAGGTTGCCAAAACTCTGGTTGATTTTGTCAATTGGTTGAAGATTCTAGAGAGAAACATTTGCATTGTTAGAGGTTGTAAGAAGAAGCCAAGAATAACGAAATATTCCAAATATCTTTTTATTTGGAAAGGAAGGTTTCAATTGGATGCTAAAAGATCCAGAATTAATATGAAGCAATTGAAGATTCTACTATGATTTTCCTCAATCAAAGGCTTGAATTCGAGGACGAATTCTTTCCAACTAGGGGAGTCTGATGCAAGAGCATAAGAGTGGATCAAGATAGATATTTACCATTTAATTAGTTATTTCTTGATATATTGTTATTTTCTTATTTAGGTAGTTTTAGGATATCTTTTATTATTTATGTGTGATTTTATAATTAATTAGTTTACTTTTGGACCAAGCAATCTTGGTGTCCAAGTCTTGTAAAGCCTATGAATAAGGCTATTGTAATAGTTGTAGAAAAGGTAATATTGATGATTAATGAAATAGTTTATTTGTGGCATGGATTTGCTACGATATATGTGAGTTTGCACTAGCCCTAGATTTCGGTGCTCGTGTATGTGGTTGGTGACCTGTATCCTGATCCCGATCCCCATCAATTCTGATGCAAGAGCATAGGGGTGGATCAAGATAGATATTTATCATTTAATTAGTTATTTCATGATATATTGTTATTTTCTTATTTAGGTAGTTTTAGGATATCTTTTATTATTTATGTGTGATTTTATAATTAATTAGTTTACTTTTGGACCAAGCAATCTTGGTGTCCAAGTCTTGTAAAGCCTATGAATAAGGCTATTGTAATAGTTGTAGAAAAGGTAATATTGATGATTAATGAAATAGTTTATTTGTGGCATGGATTTGCTACGATACATGTGAGTTTGCACTAGCCCTAGATTTCGGTGCTCGTGTATGTGGTATCCTGATCCCGATCCCCATCAATGCAGATTCAAATGCCTTGGTAATTGGGGAAGCAATAAATTGTGTCCTTGGGAAGTAATTTAACAGATTTTTTGATAGATTTAAGGATAAAGTTTAAGTGAGACACTAAAACTAGTTTCATGA